GAGCAGAACAAAATCCACTTGATCCAGTGACTAAAAATACTTATTCGTTAAATAACAAATGAGTGAATGATGTATAGTCTCCTCTTCAGAACATAGTAACAAGAGAGTCATGTAATACTACAATAACAAGATAAAGCAAAGTAGTGTGTTTGGGGAAATGGGGCATGCAAATGGGTGTGTGTACCTATAGAAGTTGTGGACAGGGTGAGGCTTCAGGAGAGGAAGAAAAATAGATGGTTGGAGAGAGACTATTGATACATATGTAAGATTACGATAGAATGGGAGGTATGACCAAAGTCGGCAGAATAGGAATTAGGTATAACTATGGACAGGATGTCCTCCATCCAAGGATTGATAGCAGTTAAGTAATACAATGAGGGAATGTTGGAGGCTCACACCAGATAGTATTTCTTCTGGGTAAATTATAACGAAAACTCATTCATAGGCAGAGATTCTGAGGTCGGTAGGTGAGATTGTTTCACTTTAATGGGTTTGAAATTACCAATGAGTACAATAAATCATATTTTCCAAGTTGAGATAGATGAAGATTATTGATGCTTTGAAGATATTGGGATTTATGTAAAAATTAATGACTTTTTTTTTTTTGGAGAGGTTCTTGCTACAGGATGTGTGCACTCGCCAGAAAGACAGAGACAGACAGAGAGACAAAAAGTGAGAAATCACCCCCCAGGGGGGATGGCCACACCACAATCCCTTCTCCTCCATTCTCCTCTCAGGATCTTGGGTACACATGCACATGCACCTGGTGTGAGTTTAAGACACCAGGTCTGGGACTTGAACTGTTTGTGACTACATGGGAGTACAGTGACATAGCCATTACACCAACTGCTGGTCCCAATTAATGACTTTTATGTGTTCTGTACTACACAATCATCTACATGGCTCTCTATATGCACCCACATGGCTGACCACGGTTCAAGTCTTGGACCTGGCAGCTTGCTTTCTAACTTTCTCTCTGTTTTTCTCTAGTCAAATTAAAATAAATAAATAAATAAAGTTAAATAAAATAATTTAAAAAAAAAAAGTACAGATTTGTTCATGATTTACAGGTAAGTGGGTCAAGGACTTTCTATGTTGATGAACAACAAGATAATGAAAGAGATACAGAGTAGTCCAAGAGGAGGAAGAACCTTCTGAGTCTAGAGGCTGTGAGAAAATGATGACAGAAAGCCATGAGAGCAGAACAAAATCCACTTGATCCAGTGACTAAAAATACTTATTCGTTAAATAACAAATGAGTGAATGATGTATAGTCTCCTCTTCAGAACATAGTAACAAGAGAGTCATGTAATACTACAATAACAAGATAAAGCAAAGTAGTGTGTTTGGGGAAATGGGGCATGCAAATGGGTGTGTGTACCTATAGAAGTTGTGGACAGGGTGAGGCTTCAGGAGAGGAAGAAAAATAGATGGTTGGAGAGAGACTATTGATACATATGTAAGATTACGATAGAATGGGAGGTATGACCAAAGTCGGCAGAATAGGAATTAGGTATAACTATGGACAGGATGTCCTCCATCCAAGGATTGATAGCAGTTAAGTAATACAATGAGGGAATGTTGGAGGCTCACACCAGATAGTATTTCTTCTGGGTAAATTATAACGAAAACTCATTCATAGGCAGAGATTCTGAGGTCGGTAGGTGAGATTGTTTCACTTTAATGGGTTTGAAATTACCAATGAGTACAATAAATCATATTTTCCAAGTTGAGATAGATGAAGATTATTGATGCTTTGAAGATATTGGGATTTATGTAAAAATTAATGACTTTTTTTTTTTTGGAGAGGTTCTTGCTACAGGATGTGTGCCCTCGCCAGAAAGACAGAGACAGACAGAGAGACAAAAAGTGAGAAATCACCCCCCAGGGGGGATGGCCACACCACAATCCCTTCTCCTCCATTCTCCTCTCAGGATCTTGGGTACACATGCACATGCACCTGGTGTGAGTTTAAGACACCAGGTCTGGGACTTGAACTGTTTGTGACTACATGGGAGTACAGTGACATAGCCATTACACCAACTGCTGGTCCCAATTAATGACTTTTATGTGTTCTGTACTACACAATCATCTACATGGCTCTCTATATGCAAAACATCTTTCCTTGCTAACCACCAAGTGAACATTTCAATGAAACCTTTTGATGGCATCCATTCCCACCTGCCTTGAGTTCATTAGAAGTGGACCAGACATAATCTGCAGGGGGCAGTATAGGTTCAGTCCTTCTGAGATACTAGAATAAATTTCTTAATGTGGCTAAGACATAAACTTATCAAACCTAACTATGCATAACATCATTTTCTGATGGGCTTCCGTTAGTAACAGTCAGAATATATCATTCCCCATTTCTTCTAATTTGTTCTGCTTCTTTTCTAAAGGATAAACTTTATTTCAAAGGCTAAACTTTATTACCACCTTTATGTTAAAACAGGTGAGTGGATGTGTTAGATATTTTATGACATTACGCATTTGGTAATATTTAGACAAAGGTAGAATGAACAAATAGAGTCTAGCAAAATTTAAGTCCATTTGCAATTATGTCCTTAAGGAGTCATACCAGAGCAATGCCTTACTGAGGTGGTAATGAAGTAAAAATGTGCTGTATTGGAATAGGCATTGGAGAAAACCTTCTAAAAAAGGCAGCTCAATAAAGTGATAATGGGACATTATATCTTTGTTGTAGCTTTTGCTCCTTTATTTTTACTAAGTAGCACCTCTTCCTTAAATTGTAGTGGTTTCAGTGGCACAACATTGATAGATTTAGGAGATAGTTGAGGGAGAGGAAGAAAAGAAGAGGGTAGATTGGATAAACTTAAAATTGGGGGCAACAATGCCACTTCCTGCCACTAATGGATATTGTAAGGATTAGATTCGTTCAGATATATGCATATGTGACACAGAGTAAACACTCAATAATGTGTGACAGAATCATTATTATCTATCGGTGATGAGAACAATGGTTATGTTTCTTATTCAAGAGGGTATAACTCAGCCTTTGTGAAAACTTAGATGGGGATTTAATTTAAGATGAAGCTGAATCACACATTCTCACCCAGTCTCTTTGATTCAGTTTAGGAATAAAACTTGCCAACAATAGAGGGCATAGCTATGTCCTAAAACAGATGTTTCCTTAAGGGAATCTATAAGAGTTTAGAATTTTCAGCCTCATGAATCGATTAACTGCCAAACAAATCCACTATTAAGTGCACATCATGCTCTTGGAAAATAAAAATCAATGAGCCTCTGAAAATGTATGTGTTTGTGTGTCTGTGCATTTGTGTGTGTGTGTGTGTGTGTGTGTGTGTGTGTGTGTATACACACACACGTATACATTTATTTATTTATTTATTAATTTATATACATATATATGTGAATACATACATGTATAAATTTATTTGCATGAAAGGACCAGGTATATAATTTCTCAACCCCCATTCATTCCATAGTTTTGATAACAGTCAGTTCCTTAAGAGTTTTTCAAATTGCTCCACTGAACCAAATAAACAAAGCTTTCTTTTAAAAAGAAATTTTTACACATTTAGCAGTTCTAGCACATTTCATTTCCAAAGACTAACATATACAAGGCTTTAATTTTTTGTATGTTTAGGTTTCCTACAGTATTGCAAGGGTAGAAAAAGCTACTGAGAAGAATCTTCATGTAGAAAATATTAAATGGTGCATAGAATCCAACCTGTTTTGGGTATGATATTTTATTCTAAATGCCACTGACCCTGTGATATACACATTTGAATTAGCAGAGTAAAAGGATAGCAAGTAAAGAAGAATGCAGGTTTATTTTTCTTAAATATGTCTTGACAGAATAAATTACAATATAATAAAAGTATCTACTTAGAATATGTATTTCTTTTATGTATCAGATATCTAGGAAAATAAAAATTAATATGACTAGTGATTTTTACATATTTATCCATACTTTTAATGCTTTTTATATATATAAATTTTTTGAGAGGTTTTTGCTATAGGGTGTGTGCGCTCGCCAGACAGAGAGACAGAGAGATAGAAAGTGAGAAATCACCCCCAAGGGGACATGGCCATGCTGCAATCCCTTCTCCTTCATTCACCTCAGGATCTTGGGCACGCATGCACACGTGCCCAGTGTGAGTTTAAGCCACCAGGCCCATGACTCAAACCGCAGTCGACTACATGGGGACTACATGGGAGTCCAGTGACATAGCCCTTACGCTAACTGCTAGTCCCTATATATAAATTTTTAAATGAGTGTGTTTGATATAACCACTGATAGCCTTTGTAAAAGAGAAATTTATATGTAATTTTAAAAAAAATTTACGAAAGTTCACATCCATTCACTGGAGAAAGACAGAGAAAGAGAAAGAGAAACTGAAAAAAAGCACCCACTATAGGGGATGGTTGCATTGCAATCCCTTTTCCTTCATCTCTTCCCCCTTTAGGAATTTTTGGGTGTTCACACACACACACACACACACACACACACACACACATACACACACACACAGGAGTCCAGCATGTTTCTCAGGGCACCAGCTGTGGGACTCAAAGCACACAGTCGGCCATGTGGGATTCAGCTGCCTTAACTCCCATGCCATGGACTGGCCCCACAGGTAATTTATATAATAAAAGCATAAATCACTATTATATGATTTTTCATTCAAGACAAATGAACACATAAGAGGAAATTTAAAAGTTCATGGGAAAATGGAATTAGAGCGTGAGTTTATTTTGGTGCCCCCCCCAATAAATCGATAGGTTTCTCATAAGAGTCATTTTCCATGAACTTTTTGAAGCATCCTCTTATAATTAACCAAGAGAAGTCTGAATAACAATAGCTGATGTGAGAAAAATCTAACAAAACCGGGAAAGACAAAACATCTCTTGGCTATGAAAAAAAAGCGCCGAAACATTCCAAGAAGCAAAAGCGATATTAGATTATCTTGGAAACAAGTTCTCTTATTTGTAGAGCAGAGTAAATGGTGACAGACCTGAGAAGGAAATGAGCTCCGTGTAGGGTCAGAGGTGGTGACATAAGCCGCCTGTGTGTAAGCATAGCTCTTGAACCGAGGTTTAGGAGAGGAAGAAGTTGGCTCATAGCCCTGTGCTAGACTGACTGTGATCTGCAGAGAAGGGTTGAGGGAGAGAGACAGAAAAGAAGGGAAGACACCGTAAGTAGCCTTGAAAGAGAGGGCTACCTTCCAACACTGGAAAACAGAATATTAAATGGAAATGGTGAGATGAAACTTTTAATTCTAAACATAAACAAGTGACATTAGAAACCAGTGCACACCAAGAATTGTGGAGCTACCGGTGTCATGTTGGAATGCAGATAATCTGGGAAGATATGAGGGTAGAGTTTAACCACGAGGATTCCACAACAGTGCAACTGCAGCACTTATATGGAATGGTTCCCTTCAATCTGGCAAAACCAGGCATCCAAAAGCAATTTTCTCTGAATCCAAAGTAAACAAAGCCAGACTTCATCAGGTCAATACCCTTGAAAGGGCTGAAGCTTTCATCAGCTAAATATAGAACTAGCTCAGTAGAGTGAGAAAATTAGGCCTAAGAGCTTTCCACGCCTTCAGCAGAAATTTTGCTAAAGCCTTTTCCATTATTCTTTGTGTCTAAGAAAGTACACCAAAATGCCCACTACTGAGAGTGAAAACAAGCCAATGTAATGGAAGAATTTCAGTGGATTATACACAATGTAATAATGTCTCATATGTATTATCCATTTAATTTTTCATGATAAACCACTTTTTTTCTTTTCAGAAATGTTACCTTGAATAATCAAAATTTGTTAATGCATCAAGTTACCACCAACATTTTTATAAAAATTATTAAATGGAGTAATTTTCTTTGTTCTTGCTATAGCTCTTTGCTCTAGTTGATGGAGAGTTTAAAGTTTAATATGTATATAAGTCTGCCTTTTATTTTACACAGTGGAAATAAAATATATTCTATATTCTTGTAATATGGTGCATGTATCAATAGTAGAGTATTTTAACAATGGACTTCAAAAATACTGTGGTTCATATCAGATAACATGTAAAAGATTTATATTTCACTCTGTATATATGCATATGTGTGTATTTTCATTATATAAGTGTGCACACATGTACTTGTGATACCTAAAAACACATATAAAGTAGAAAACATCTTAGATATTGGTTGCTCTTAAGTACTTTACCTGTTGGGAATAGTGCATTTGATGATGTAATTGAAAATGTTCTTCTCTAGTCACTTTGGATGGCCTTGGCAACATTTCCACTTCCTGGATGGCTTCAATGCTCACTTGTTGAGGCAAAACTTGGAAGAGTGATGTGATATACATTAAGATGGACTTCTTATCTGGATAAGTAGTGGCAACATCTGTAAGCATATTAACACCACATATTAATTTTTAGTTTCTATATTTGAGACGTGGCAAAGGTAATGAGCAAATTAATGGGACAGGAAGAAGACAGATTTAATGAACACTTGATTGTCCATGAATGTCCCCAAGAAATTAATTAGAACATGATAATCAGGCCTAAAATGTCCTTCTAATTTGGCAGATCAATGAGATGAGTATTGATGTTAATTTTTTTCCTTATTCACATAAAATCTTCAGTTCATAATACTTCTTCCTAAGTGAAATCACCAAACTAGCCCATATAAGACAATAGCTTTCATTAGATTAGAAACAAAAATAAATATTACATTTTCCTTTTCATGGAAAGTTGTATTAGTGTGTCAGTTACAACACTGCATTGGTAATTAAACAATTACATAAAAGAGTTTTTAATGCCTTTGCTCTTACTAAAAAACCTGACACCTCCTAATGGAAGTTTTGCTTGTGTTAAAGTATGGACAGAGCTAAATATATCTGCATTGAAATAAGCCATGTGCATTTACACAATAAAAATTAGATAACAACATACCTTATGCATAATGATTTGTAATATTCCTTAAATATATTAAAATATTTCTTTACATTATGGTGCCTCTGTTAAAGTCTGATGTCACTTTCCTCAATATTTTTTTTGAGAGGTTTTTGCTACAGGGCACGTGCACTCGCCAGAAAGACAGAGAGAGACAGAGAGACAGAATGCAAGAAATCACCCCCCAGGGGGATGGCCATGCAGCAATCCCTTCTCCTCCATTCTCCTGGTGGGATCTGGGGTATGCACATATGCATATGCACCTGGTGTCAGTTTAGGCCACCAGGTTGGGGACTCAAACCATGGTTGACTATATGGGAGTCCAGCGACAGCCATTATGCCAACTGCTGGTCCTCTCTCCTTCTCAAATTTTAGGGATAAATTTAAAAGTCTTGCACATAAAGTTGATCTGACTTCATCTCTTTTTCCACATTTGGGGACTAAATATAACCAGCATTTGAACATAATAATAATTTTAAATAACACATATAAAGTGGCAGCTCCTCTTAAAGTTTCTTTCTGCTACTTGACATTAAAATTTAACCAAAGCACTGATTCCAAGGAACCAAGATATAAAATTAATCCTTTATGTAAAGTGTATTATGAATCCCAGAAGTATTAAAACATAAATGCTGACAATGGAATACTATTCAGCCTTAAGGAAGAAGAAAACCCTGTCATTTGTGACACCATGGGTGAACCTGGATGGAATATATATATATATATATACACACACACACACATATACACAGACACACACACACACACACACAATTAATTAATTAATTATATTTACCCCTATGTCTGACCCTCTGCCCTTTCGCACCTTCTTCTCACACTATCTCTGGTGTCTACAGTTGTCTTCTATTCCTTTTCCCTCTACATTTTATTGATCACACAATTTCTTAAATAATCTAACTACTTTCATTAGCAAGTTCAGCTGGTGATTTCAAGAAAAGCAGTTTTGAATTGGTAAGAAAATTTGCTTAAAACTTAAAGCCTGGAAACAGGTTAGTATTCTGTTCAAATAGTAGGTACATGAACCTATTAACAGCTGAAGACAGGCCAAAAACTCTTAAAACCAGACAACAATGCTAGAAGAAAAACAGCAATATTTTTTGTCAAAAGTCACAGAATGCTATTTCACCAGTTCAGTCTCATCTATCTTCTGTTGTGGTTTGATCTTCCTGATTGAATTCTGGGAGATAACATTCAACACCAGACTTGTCCCTACAATTAAGTTGGCCATTTTCTTAGTTTTTGAACTCTTATTTCTATGTGTCTGTATTTAGTTTTCCTGGTATAGCACACTCCCTTGAGAACTTCTTGGAGATCTGGTCTGATGCTGGTAAATTCTTTCAGGTTTTGTTTATCTGAGAATGCTCTTGTCTTTTCTTCGCATATGAAGGATAATCTTGCCGGGTACAGTATTCTTGGTTGGTCTGAGAAAGCCAAGAGAAAAATCTCATGCCCTTTGACAAAATTCTTTGGCAAGTAGCAAGACCATGATTAATCACAACTATTTTTAATGTATTTTTTAAAAGAGTTACAGGGGAGGCAAAAATGAACTAATGTTCCTTGGTCTGCTTTTATCCACAACATAATACAGCACTTCTCAATTATTAATGGGCATATAAATCAACTTGAGAACTTTTTAAACTACAGAATTTGATTCAGTAAGTAGACCCTGGGTTCTGCATTTCCAACCAGTTCTCAGGTGATGCTGAAGCTGCTGGCCTGAGGACTATATTTTGAGTTACGAAGGTCAGGTCAAAAAAATATTACACATGAAGAAATGGTTATGTCATCTACCATCTCACTGTTTTACTCATTTTATAATGTATATTTACTAGACACTTAAATACTCAAGGCTGAGTGATATAAAGTTATATAATACATATGAACTACTTCTTATTATAATTTAGTTATTAACTAATAGATCTTAAAAGAAATTTTTTGTAAGTACTTTTAAAAAACTAAAGAATATTTTGTATAAAAGCACTGCCTTTCTTCAAAATCTTACTAACTTAGCTTTGAAATTCTGGAGCCTAAGAATCTCCCATTCATATATTAATTGTTTTCCAAGTGTTTATTGTACAGCAGACAGTATACTTCACCATATCTTAAAATTATTTTTTCTAAAGTTTTTGGCCATAAGGCACACGCACTTGCTGGAGAGGAGAGAGACAGAGAGAGAGAGAGAGCGAAAATGAAAGTGAGAAATAACCTGCCAGGGGATAGCCACATTGAAATCCCTTCTCCTCCATTATCTTGCTGTGATTTTGGGCATGCATGCACACGTGACAAGCATGATTTTCAAGCCAACAGGTCCAGGACTCTAACTGCAATCAATCAAATGGGAGTCTAGTGCCTTAATCACTGTACCACCTGCTGACCCTAAAATTCTAAAAGGCGTTTTTCTTCTCACTAGTAACTAGTCAGTTTTACCTATGACAAGCATTATTTAAAACACATTATTTTATACTGTATAATTGGGTGCCTATTTGGGTGCCTACTATGCTATACATAGACGTATGTATGGCTTTGTTTTGCTTCAAAGATAGGCCATCTTACCAAAGAAAAGAATATAAAAATTGATTAAGCATTAGTTTTTATTACCCCAAGTGGATGCCAAAATTCTAATACATTTTATCTATCTAAAACATCATATCTCTTACACATTAGTCATTACAATACAAATATGCACTTATTTCACCAAAGTGTTGACAATTTTGCCCCCAGACTATTATTATCCCACCTCTGAGATTGTGCGGGATACAATTCTGCCAATAAGAAGAAACTAATATTTCTTGTTTTAATGAGTCCTGATGGAGCATTAGTCATGAGAAAGAGAGAAAGAGGAAAGTACCTTCCACGGAGCTCAGTCATGTTATGACATCCTTTCTCTACTCCTTAGGACAAGGAGGATAATGGGCACCCACACATACACACCTGGAACGACTGGCCCAACTGGCCAGGAGACTTGAACTATGGTTAGCATGAGGCTTCTAGCTCCACAGTCTAGTATCCTATCAAATGCATCACAGATGCTGGACCCAATATCTCTTTTTTTTTTTAAGAAAGGCATCTAGACTTCATAAAACATTTTTAATTCTTTCCACACACATTTACTAAAGATCTATTATGTTCAATGTATTTTAATAAATTACCTTGAAGACCAAAAGGATAGAAAATTCATGGATACTGATGATTGCAATTTAGAATAACAGGAAAATAAATAAATAAGCAGAAAAGTACAAAATAATTACATTGCTGAACAGAATTTAAAATGTGTTCTTCTAATTGGCACAATCAGTGCTTTAACATGTTCAGATATAATAAGAAATTATATGTTATTGGGATATTAGACAATTCTTTATGAATAGAAAACTAAAGTAAGTGCACATAAGATTTTTGTAGCTGGAAATTAGGGTATGAGGAAGCATAATTTAAACAATGGAATAGACTGGGTAAAAGTACAGAGGTAAGGACAGATTACATATGTCCTGGGAATAGTGCCTTTGTGTCTTTTAGCCACAGAGGGAAGGATATTGAAAAATAAAATAAAATTGAAACATTGAGGGATCATCAATAACTAGCTGGAAAATTTGGCCTTAGTTCAATAGGTTGGAAAATAACTAATTAGTTTTGACCAAGAGTGTGACACCATCAAAATTGTATTAAAGTAAAACTGTTAAGTGCAGAATCGACTGGTGGAGAGAGAACCTGGAGGAAAGCAGGAGGTTAAGAGCATAATGCAGACAGAAGGTGTTAGAGAACTAAACAGGACTCTGTAAGGGGGGAATGAAAATCAGCAGATACATGGTAAAATTTCTAAGACAGATCCAAAATTACTTCAATTTTCAAACCAGTTAATCATCAGTCTTTGGAAATGCCTATATATAAAATTCAGTACTAAGCTCCAAGGATATAAAGATTAATAAATTGAGAATAAGATAAGGCAAGAGAAGGAAGAGGAAACTGATTATTTAATAGCAATCTAACACAAGTTTTAATCCCATGTGATTAATAACAAATTAGCTACCTCCATGACTGTTATCATGCTTCTCCAAGCCAACCAGTGGCAAACTCTCCCTTCTGGAAGTCTACTAATCAGAAGTGGGTTGGCTCCAATGAGCACAATTCTGAATGTAAATCAATTAGCAATGGTCTCACCTAATTAGCCATGCTTCTGCATCTGATATAAAGCTACTCCTGACTCCGTATCTGCCCATATCTCTTGATTTCCGAGTTCTCCCCAAAACCTAAGAACACCCTCTATTTTGAGACCATGGTTGATCAACACAGTTCCCTCTTATTCCAGTAGGTAATAAACTCAGCTTCGTGATTTTATTTTAGATATTCAGTGATGGTCTCATCATTTGATCAAATTCAAGTGATGAAACTCACTTGTAAATTTAAACTTAGTAATGAGAACTTACTAAATGA